ATTCGAACCTCGACGACGACCCTACCCCATCTTCGGCCCGAAATAAAAGTGGAATCCCGGCACAATCCCGTTTCTAGCTCGTAATTTTATCGTGTTTCCCCTGTAAATGTGGCCCCTCTCGTTCATGGGAACGTTCAGGGATTGTCCAAGAGGGGGGGTTCAGCTTTTCGACCTTAACCCTTTCGAACCTTTTCGACTGTAGATGAATGACGATGAATCTGAAACGGCTTTAAGATTATTTTGGATTATTTTGTTCGTTTTTATTAGAATGTAAGTTTGAATAAAAGTTTCTATTTTTGTGTTTTGTACATTGAATTAAGTTCTGAGCTAATGTTTACAGGATTGTGTGATACGAATGTTGTTTATCACGTTATTTATTTTTAAATATTATTAGATGTTTATTTTTATGATACGATATTATTTTTGTTTTTTTTTTAACTCTTCAGTGTTAGATGAATCTGAAACGATTTTAAAATTATTTGTTATTATTGAAATATAAGTCTGATGGAAGTTTATATTTTTGAATACTTTTTGTTTTTCGTATGTGAAATAAGCTCTAAACATATATTACATAGGATTAATTATGTAATACAAATGTTGTTTATTACACTATTCATTATTAAATATTATTAGATCTTTATTTTTATGATATGATATCATCTTTGTCTTTTAATTCTTGAGTATTAGATTAGATGAATAGATGAATCTGGAACTTTAAAATTATTTGAAACTTATTTGTTCTATTGAAATATAAAATCTGATAAAAGTTTATATTATTGAATTATTAAATTTATTATTAAATTTTATTAGATCTTTATTTTTATAATACGATATTATTTTGTTTTTTTAATTCTTAAATGTTAGATGCATAGATGTTTTTAACGTCAAAGAAATAGTAACGTGTACAAAAACAGAAATAATGAAGAAGGATTTTGACAATTTTTTAACAAAAAAAAAAAAAAATAGTTACGACAAAACGTTCAATTCTTCGAAATAAATTTTTCTATTGTAAAAATTCTGAGGATAGAAAATTGTCGAGAAAGTATACATTTTCGGCGAAAGAGTTTTCAGAAAAATTGTTGAGATCGAGAATTGAGAAATTGCCAATTCGGCTGGTGTTAATCTAAAAATTATGGTATCGCGTTGCTGTTGTTCGCGAATGCCATTAAGATCCGGGAATTAGTCCAAAATGTATGAGTAATAAATTTATTTCGGTGTATCTCACGCTGGTTCATCGCTCAGAAAACACATTTGCCTGTGTAGCACAATGTAAACGAATACCAAAGTATCGCTAACGATGCGTGATTCATGATACCATCGACAGCCTTTTACCATCCTTCCACGTGTATTTTAAAATTCGTTCAACTTTAATTCGAGGCAAATTCTCGTTGAAAATTGTTGAAAATTCGTGAAAATAAATTATCCATAACAAAATAATCCACCGAGAAACGGGATCAAAGTTAGATTTAAATTTGATCCCGATTCTAGATTACGTTTCGACTAAACGAAAATATAAAAGATTAATTTATATCCCGTATTTCTAATAAATCCGGCAGAATCATCAACCGAAATAAACCAAACTTTCCAACAAAATTACGACAAATAGATTAGGCTTGATTAAGTTGGAGGTTAGGTTTGCGCCATGTACAAACATTCAATATTTAGGCAACGATCGAGTGCGAGAAATGATCGTTGAACTTGCAAGGCCTCCATCATATTACGCGAAATAAAATTCACGCATCGAGTTCTCAGGTTTCCACGAAATTTCTCGAATGCTTCACCTTTCGTTCCCTTCTCTCTCTCTCTCTCTCTCTCTCTCTCTCTTGGTTCGTTTACGGTTATTCTTGCTGCGTTCCGGTTTCTTTCTAAAAATCGGCTCGTTACTATCGCGTTGCAAAACTGTGCCTGTCTTATTGTATATTTCTTTAACGTCCCCTAGCCTGATACTTCTCTTTCTTCCGCCGTAAATATTACGTTTCCCAAAGCATTTCGATTGTTATCTCAATGTTTGCACAATCTTTCATACATAGCCATCTATCTATAGCGAAATTATTTTTTACGGGTTGAATCATTGTAGAAAAGAATAATTTGCTTGTTTCGAACATTTCTTCTTTTATGTAATGTATTATATATGCGTTATGTTTTCGTGCAAATACGATATTGAGATATGTTCTCCTAGATGGAGAGGAGAGCACTTGTTGCCTGGTTCGCAGACAAGGGATCCTAGATAATCTTATTCGCGAGACTGTTTGCATTTTCTATTTAAATCTTCTTGCCAGTAAAAATTTTAATTCAACTTTTATATAATTATAGAACAAGATTTAATAATTTATGATAAAGCAAGAATTCGGTTACCTTAATTTCTACTTCTCTCTAAAACTTGATGATAGAAATGGCCGCATTAAAATTTCGAATTTAATTTAATCTGTAATATTTCAAAAAGTGTTTCTCTCTCATTTTCCATTTTCTCGTTCAAAATTTATTGACAAGAAGGACAGATATATTCTCAATTATTTCCAAAATTTTTTAATCAAAAATATCCACGTCATAAACATCGTCTTACATCTTTCAATAACAGATGCATAGATAGTTTCGTTTCGTTCTTCGATAATAATTCAGATATCATACATCAAAATAACGAATATAACAAACGTGATTTCTCGAATAAAATTTCGAACGATCATCCTCGATTCCATTGAAATTTATTGGCAGAGGTAGTGGCTGTTAATATTCGGCCCGATATTTCCAACGATCCGAAAAATCACGAAAAATCCGGCGAAACGAAAAGGTGGGAGAGTGTAATCAAAATATCCAAGTACGTGTATATACCTCGAAATTTTGGAAAATTCTTTCACAATTATTCCCCCGCTTATTATATTGTCCATTCAGTTGTCACCAAGAAGAAGATCCCATCGAGTTAACGAGCGGCCGTTTCGGTATCCTGAAGTATAGTGTAACACCCCCGCTGGTAGAGAGATGGAAGGCGGCTAGTACTCCCTCTGCCACCGCCACGTTGTCGTCAACAGGACTGACGTTCCGTTGCACACGTGCCGTGTGCAAACGGCTGGCTATGACTAGGACGGCCACGACGCG